CTTTTTAGTAGTGACGTCACGTACGCCAAATTATAGGCAACCCCATAGTGCACATTGTCATGAAGAATTTCTCAATATTTTTACTAGATCGGTTTTCGACCTTATGTACTTTGAACATCGCGATATTCTGGTAATATTAGGAATATTTAAGAAGTTTCAAGTATATATTTAAATTTATAGAACAATATTGACTTTTATGGTAATTAATAAATTAAAATTATATCAATGTTACTGAGCATGCTCATTAAAGATAGTAGTAGAAGTAGCCTCGCAACAGGATTTCATTCAAGAAAGGTTTGATTGTGGTTAAGAGTACGTCTATAATCAACCACTTGAAGAAAAAAAACACTCGATAGACACACTGACACATTGCAACATCAAGAAAAACAATAAAAATACTTAGTATACCTAGAAAATGCCAAGTTAAACAAAACAAGACAAAATACGCTAATGATGACAGGGATAACATATCAACAAGATCTCACCTGCGTATGAGGCTATTCTTTCCGAGCGTGCGCATTAGGAATAACACAGCTAATGTTAATTATTTACTTTATTTAAATTTAGGAATATCCTTTTATATCGTTTTTTGTAAGTTTTAAGCACATTAGTGTATCTTTTTTACGAAACACGTGTCGGTTATTGTTAAATACTTCCAAATCCTTGTAAAAATAAATTAATTTGAAGTTGTTCATTTTTATAGTCTCTATGTAAATAGTACACAAGGGTCAGATTCGGTCTGTACAATTTCAACTATGACAATTTGTTGCGGATTGCCTAAATATGTGACGTCACACTAAAAGAGTATTAAAAACGAATTCAACCATGATCAAATGGTTTATAGAAATTCTATTGGCTTATTGCTAATAGAATTTATATAAATAATTTGATCATTTCTAATAAAATAATCATCATAACAAAGATAACCCTTTCCAAATGTTCAAAATGAGATAGATTACTAAGAACTTCATAAGAAATATTACTGACCCCTTTGTTTGATAAAGAAAGTTATATTATTCATTGTCGCAATTTAAAACAAGCTACAGCTTTAGGATCAAAAAATGAAAAAGTTCATAGAATTTTAAAATTTAGGCAAAGTTATTGGATGAAAATATGTATTGACTTAAATACAGAATAAAGAAAATTCAGCAAAAATTTTTATAAACTGATGAATAATGTTGTTTTTGGAGAAACCATGGAAAATGTTAGAAAATATGAAGATGTAAAGTTAGTCTCTAGATGGTCAGTAGATAAGATGCAAATCATTATCGGTCGATAGCCGCACGGTTTAAGGCGTCAGTACTTAAATCGATGTGTCGATCTAACCGAGTTTCGAATCCCGCGGCCGGTAGACCGTAGATTAGCTATGCTTGTACGGAGGATTGGCACCCTCTATGCAGGTATGGTAGGGTGGAAGAATGTTGGCTTGGGTCAATGTGAATGATTGACACCGGTTGGCATTTGACCACCCCCCTAATTAATGAGGTTTTCCAGGTTTCCCTCATTCCTNATGGTAGGGTGGAAGAATGTTGGCTTGGGTCAATGTGAATGATTGACACCGGTTGGCATTTGACCGCCCCCCTAATTAATGAGGTTTTCCAGGTTTCCCTCATTCCTGCACTGAATGGTGGTTAGGGCCTACCAACATAAGTCGTTCCTGGGCGCAAATGCGGCCTGCGTAATAATAATATGCCGCCTACTCTCCCGCACAAGTCTCCTACTTCTGGGCTAATTTTCGTAGTTAGAATGAGGAGTAGAGATATTATTATTATTATATTTTAAAGTTAAATTTTTTCAGTTTTACAATTTTTGATAAAGATACGGTTATAATTGAAATGAAACGATTAAACATTACATTTAATAAAATTATTTAGGATTTAGTATTTTATTAGATATTTTGAAAACAGTTGTGCTTGATTTTTATTACAATCACATTAAAAACAAATTTAATGATAAAGCAAAATTGCTGTACACCGACACCGTTTCTTCAATATACACTAGTCACAGAAATTAAGGGATATTAAAAAATTTCCAAAATTTTGAGTGATTTTCAGAGCTGTAACATGGAAGGAAATACTTGTAGAGAGAAACAAAGAAAAGAAATTAAAGCTTCAAGTATCTAGTTTTTGGATCTGGAGATTAAAATTGTTTAGCGTCAGCAGTTTTTGAGTAATCATAAGAAAATCAACGAAACAAAAAATTGCAAATTTTTGCTTTTCTATAACCCTATGGCAGATGGACTTCAATTTTTTTTTGTAATGGTCGTACAGAAAATCCAAGCAGGGTTTTGAAAACTTCAACGCTAAAAAATTTTAATCTCCAGATCCAAGAACTAGACCCTTGAAGCTTCAATTTCCTTGTTTTTTTATTCTCTCTACGACCATTTCCTTCCAAGTTACAGCTCTTTGGAATCACCCAAAATTTTCGGACTTTTTTAATATCCCTTAATTTCTGTGCCTAGTGTATCATTTCTTTGCTGACGACATATATGAACATATAGATGATATTAATAAATTAGTAGTAGCTACTTTTTTAATTTTCAGATATGTAAAAACTACTAAAAAAAACAGTAAATTTTGAATTTTCAGAGAAATATTAACCCATATTTGGACCAATTTCACCCAAATATTTCACTTTTCTCCGAAATTCATCTGTAAGTTATGAATTTTGACTACCAGGATCGTGTTCAGCGTATCGAATTCCTTCGGAAATGATATGCGGCTCTCTTCAGTTTGGACTTTTTTGTGTGGCTGTATTACAATTATTTTTTAGTAATAGTTCACTGAACTCTTTATTTTTATTGTAAATTTTCTAATTAATTTAAATACATAAAATAATTATATCCTGTTTGTGTCTATAAATATACAGTGTGTTAAAAAAAGAGTGTAAAATATTTAAGGAGGAAATAGTATGAACCAAAATAAGCAGAAAAGTCTCCATAAACATGGGTCCGCAAAGTAACGGTTGCGGAGATATGGAATGTTTTATGTTTTTTAGCCCCTTTTTTTATTTTGCAAAAACGTTGTGTATTTTCTTATAATAGTTGGTTGATGTTTAGTGAAATAAACAGTACGTATTTGACAGTTGTTCTCAGTGCACAAGTTTTCTTTCGCTATGGCTGGTTACTCTAACGCAGAATTAACAGACATGCATTTCATGTATGGTCGTGCTAATGGGAACGCCACCGAAGCGCGACGTCTTTATGTTGACGCTTATCCAAATCGCCAGATTCCTTCACAACGCATGTTTGGAAGAATTCACCAAAGATTGCGTGATACCGGTTCCTTGAGCAAACAGTGCCATTTATCCGGAAAACCAAGGTCGGTATCCACTCCTAGAGCAGAAGAAGAAATTCTAGCACTGGTAGAGCAGAATCCAGGTACGAGTGTGCGGAGAATATCAGCCGAGGTAGGAATTAGTGGTCCTCTTGTTTGGAGAATCCTTCACGAGAAACTGCTTTATCCATACCATGTGCAACGAGTACATGCCTTAAATCCAATAAATGATCATCAAGCACGTTTGATTTTTTGCCGCTGGTTTCTACGTCATGATGCTGAAGACCCTCGTTTTCTTGCAAACATTCTTTTTACTGATGAGGCCGGGTTCACAAGAAATGGAGTGTTTAATTTTCACAATACGCATATTTGGGCCGACGAAAATCCTCATCATGCTCTAATAGAATCTGGACATCAGGCACGTTTTTCATTAAACATTTGGATGGGTATTGTAGGTGACAGGTTTCTAGGTCCTGTTGTTTTACCAAACCGATTAACAGGCGCTGCTTACCTCAACTTTCTGCAGAACACACTGTATGAGTTTTTGGAAGACATTCCTTTGAATCAGAGGCAATAAATGTGGTTCCAGCATGATGGTGCTCCAGTTCATTTTTCCATGGCTGTTAGAGAGCATTTACACCAAACTTTTCCACATAGATGTGTAGGAAGGGCCGGACCTGTTTTATGGCCTCCAAAGTCGCCTGATCTGAACCCTCTAGATTTCTTTGTTTGGGGATATTTGAAGACATTAGTGTATGGTACTCCTGTAAATAGCCTGGAAGAGTTGCAGCTACGGATTAATCAAAAGTGTCAAGAAATCCAAACCAAGGAGGGTGTTTTCGAAAGAGTTCGAATATCGTTGAGACGAAGATGTCGTGCCTGCTTGGAAATGGACGGAGGGCACTTTGAAAATCTTCTGTAACTTTGTTTTTTGTTTGTTAAAAGCTTCCTTTGTCGGTTTATTCCTAATAAAATAAAATGTTTGAAAAACGAATAGTGGTCCATATCTCCGCAACCGTTACTTTGCGGACCCATGTTTATTAAGACGTTTCTGCTTATTTTGGTTTTGGTATTTTACACTCTTTTTTTAACACCCTGTATATTCGCCATAACTAACTTCTGTAGAAATTGTTGTTATTTTAAACATTTTAATAAATAGAATTCTATTACGTTTTATTTTAATAAAACTATTTATTTATGCTGTGACTAATTATTAGTCATGCAGGTAACTTGTCATAATTTTGCCTTTTTATACGGGAATACAGCAATATTGGAAAATTTATTATTTACGTCGACCTTGTTTTGCATAGTATTGTGAAAGCAGTTATTGTATTATGAAAATTATCCGCATAGAACATTCATTAATTGCCCCCGCTAATGTTCTACCGTGCCGTATAAATAAGGCTAATTGCAAAATGTTAAGCATTTCAAATCGGAAGAGAGTGAATGATTCAGTCACGCAGTCCTATCTTTAATTAGGAGGCACCGTTCTCCAATTTTAATTATAATTAAGTACAATAATTAGCCAAACTGTTACTTAGGAAAAAGATACTAACCTGTAGAATTCTTGATAGCATTGAATGATAGCTTTATGTGACAGACTATAATATCATTGGTTTGAAGTTACTGCTATGCAAAGAAAAGTATACACCAAATTAATCTTATTTTGATATTGAAGGTTTAAATTTCCAACCTCTATTTATCATTACCCGCTTTTATTTTCAGGCCCTCCAGATCCCCCTAGCGGGACGCCTTGCATTACAGCCAACTTGGACAGTGTCACTGTTGCCTGGAGTAGTTCTCCCTATGACGGAGGCAAAATTGTCAACGGTTACGCCGTTGAATACTCTCTTGTCGGAAGCGATATCTGGACCACCGATGTGGAGGAATGCCATTCTCTGAGCTATGTTGTTAGAGGGCTGCAACCTGGCGGAAGATATGTCTTCAGAGTTCGAGCCCTCAACATACATGGATACAGTAAACCTAGTCTTGAGTCTGATATAGTTCAATTAGAGGAACATAGTAAGTATCTTACATTTTTGCTGGGCGCCTTTGCTGGTGGGTTGATTTTGATTTTATAAAATTATCGTGAAAACCAACGTATGAAAGGTATCACCCTCATCAGTTGAATATTTGTTGGGAAATTAATTTAGGTACATCAGAAATTAAGAAGAAACGGAAGGCATTGATTGAATAAAAGTTAAATTGTGGCAGAATTTTTAATTTTCTAATATTCATTGATGGGAAGATAAGTGTTAGTTCTCACTTTTCTATAAGACGAACAAAAAAACAAAAACAAAACAGGTCGTTTTAAAGTTTTGTCGTCGATTTCACTTTTTTTTATTAAGTTTATTTCCCAAGTTATTATTGATTTTTCAGAACTAGATTTTTCGCCAACTGTATAAATGTTAAGTCCTCTTTGTAGTTGGACTAGGTCAGGCACTTTTCTTTATACAGGGTGTCTCAGAACATGTGAGCAATCTTTCGGATTTATACAGAGAACGTAAAAATAAGTTCCTATAAACATTTTCCCTATCCCCCCCCCTCCTACGGAGATACAGACCCTTAAAGGACGCTCCTAAAGATCGATTTTTTTTTAATTAATTTTAAAATGATTTGTGTAATTTAATTATTTTTAGGAAAGAACAATTGTAAATAAAAATACCATTTTTTTAGATAGTCACGGAAAGAATGCAACATTTCATCGGTTTATTTCTCTTTACGGATGTAATAAAAAATCATATTAAACAAAAATAGTTTTTTTTTTCTCGAAAACAGTTCATTTTATCAATCTCAACCAAGAGTGCCTTTTTTACTTCAATGTTTAAGCTATCTAAAGATATTATTTTTGTGTCTTTATCGTAAAGGGTGTAAAAAATTAACATTATTGTGTTACAGCCAGTCCGTCCCTTGCAAACCAAATAACCCAAATTGTCAATTTTTAAGGTTTTTTTTTGTTGTCCATCGTAAAATAATTACATTACACAACGTATTTTAAAAGTTGTTTTAAAAAAATCGGTTTTCAGGGGCGTCCTTTCTAGGGATGTTATTTTAACGTCCCCTGTATAAATCCGAGAGATTGCCTATATATTCTGGGACACCCTGTACACAGGTTGTTACAAATTCGCTTCTCACTACAGGGATTTGGGACCCGGTAGCTTAAATGGGGGCAAAGTTGCATAATCAGCAGACCAACATTATGCCTCAAAAAAAATCAAGGCTAACTTTTTGCCTTCTATCGAATGGCATAAGCAATTTTTATATGTAACGTTTCGTCTCTCCAGAACCATCATCAACTTCATTTTTCTAAATACGACCCTGAATATTTTATTACATTTCTTGGTAGTCTTCATGATCCGCAATACTGTACTATCTCAACCTGAACCAAATTCAGACGTTTTGTCTCGAAAAATTCATCTTCAATGTATTCGTCCCTTTATCACCTGGTCATACATAGCTCGATAAGTTGTTGCGTCAAAATTTTAAACCATTTTAAATTAAACCATTACAATTTTAATTTTATTATGACATATTAATTCTTAAAAATGCATATGAACAACCAAAACTCCAAACAAATATTTTTCTTAAAAAATTGCAGTAAATGTTCAAAAACGTTTCCGTTTTGGCAAATGTTGAAAATGAAGATGAGTGTAATATGATTAGAATATAATATTATGCCTGTAACGCTACTGTGAAAGAGCATCTCAGATGAATTTGTAATACCCTGAAAAAAATTAGATCGAAATTTGTTTGAATTTTAAGCACTCGAAAAACCTAGAAATAACTATGAGCACGAGATTAAAACTATAAAATAATAAAAAATAATAATAAATAATAAAATAAAATAATGTTTTACTGTAACGAGTGATAATAACAGTCTAAATAACTAGGAGGATTTCACAGGATTTAATGACTCTTAGAGTGTACGATAATTCAATAAACAGAAATCTAAATACAAAATTTAGATAAATTTGGAACGAACACATTGAAGATGAATTTTTCGAGACAAAACGTCTGAATCTGGTTCGGGCTGAAACAGTACAGTATTGGGGGTCATGAAGGCTTGCAAAAAATGTTATAAAATTTCTAGGGTCGTATTTAAAAAAATGAAGTTGATGATGGTCCTGGAGAGACGAAACGTTACATATAAAAATTGCTTACGCCATTCGATAGAGGGCAAAAAGTTGCCATGAGACAGTATTATTCTATTTTCAATATCACCTCAAACAAGGCTGAAATGAAACAAAAACGGATTTCTAAAATTTCGGTTGTTTTTTCAATTATTTCGAAAACTAATCATGTTAGCCTTGATTTTTTAGAGGCATAATGTTGGTCCCCTGATTATGCAACTTTGCCCCCATTTAAGCTACTTCGTATCTCTTACCGTTTCCGAGATCCCTGTAGTGAGAAGCAAATTTGTAACAGCCTGTATACATACAAAAATTAAAACTTTGGAAATCTCTCTAAACTCTTATTAATTTCAAAAGTATTAACATGGGTATTTTAAGGTTGCCTGTAACTTTACAGTTCGATAAACTCAAAATAATACCTAATGACAAAAATTAAAGGTTAAACGGAATATTTTGCAGTATTTTTTGTGTTTTGTCCTAAATGGAGATTTTACGTGAACAAAATAGGTGTCTCAATCTAATATTTTCCATTTTGAAGAAACTAAATTTTAACTTCAACAAGGTAAATAGTACGCAAATAGAATAATATAATTTTTGAATATAAAATAACGCTATAAATAGACGTCACTTCAAAGTGGTCTAGGTATCCATTATTTATGAATGAAATACATTTACTTTTCTTTAATTTAAGAAATAAAACAGGAGGAGCATTTAATCTTTGCATTGTAACATTATACAGGATGTTTCCTAAGTACGGTCCGTAACTTCAGGACACAATTTCTTATGGTATTTAAAGAAAAAAAGTTCCTATAAACATGTGGCCGGAAACACGTAGGTTCCAAGATACAGGGCGTTGAAAATTAAAAAAAATATATATTTATATTTGAAATAGAGTTAAAAAATAATAAAAATTTTTAAAAATCCATTGGCGTTCTACATTTTATGACGAAAACGTCGCCTGACTCACGCCTAATTACGCCACTGGGGGCAGATAAAAATTGATTTTATCCTAAAATGCAGCTCTTTACCGACGTACAATAACTGCCAAATTTTAAGGACCTAACATCGACTGTTCCAAATTTTTAAAATTTTCAACACCCTGTATCTCGGAATCTAAGCGTTTCCGCCATCTGTTTATAGAAACTTTTTTCTTTAAATACCATAAGAAATTATGCCCTGTTACAGACCGTATTTAGAAAACACCCTGTATAAGTATTTTTTTCTAAGAATGATGTTTAAAGATGTTCTTCGATACTAGAAAGCTAGGTGTGCATATCTAGATGTTTGGTTTCGAGGAAGATTGTCTGACATTTGATACGATTTAAAAAAAGATCTATTTGTTTAAATTAGCTTATTACCTTTAAAATAGAGTATAACAATACCATAACTAATAATAAAATATATGTTTTTAAAAAGATACTTTTAATTAGGTATGTAGTTGAACAATTAACAGTGAAAATCTAAAATTGTGACACAAATAATAATCTTAGCCATTATTTAATAATATTAAGACGAAGATAAAGTATTTATCATTGTTTGTAAAGTAAACAAGCATTACATTATTATAAAACGCTCAAAAAGATAGTTAATAATTAAGAAATATGCCGAGTCATACATACTGGATGATCCATTGCAATTTCTACTGAAATCGGTATCTAATAAACAGTCAAGTAGTTTCACTTTTGAAATCAAACTCACAGCAATTAGAAACTATGAAAGTTTCTGGGAAATTGTTATTGTCTGATTAATGCAAAAGAGATAATTAGTTACTCGTGTTAATTTTTATGTACCAGATAGCATATGGCTCAGAAATTGTTACTATAAAGAATCATATGTGCAATTCTAATTACTTATTCAAGCAATTTCTTTATGCAAAATAAAAACTAAATTTAAATACACTAATGCAAAAAATTAAAGGATCAAAAGAATTTCCGAAATTTTTCCGTGATTTTTAACAGACTGTATTTAGGTGAAAAATGGTCGTATCTGGAATTTAAAAAAAAACATTTTGAAGCTATAAGATTTTAGTTTTTAGATCTTTAATAATAATTTATGTTATTTTAGAAAATTGACGGCTAAATTAGAAATATTCACGAAATGACTATCGCTAAGCATGACATTTACAGTTCGATATACCCAAAAGAACCCTGTGAAGTTTCATCTCGATCTAGCGAACCGTTTCTTTGTTTCAAACAGTCAAACTTTTGATAAAAATTAAAGGGTCACCTTTTCTGAGTTTAAACACTTCATAATCATAATTAAAATGGAAAAAATTTTTTTTTAAGGTTTTCTCACATTTTTAGAGCAAATAACGTTTAAATTGAGGGAAAAAAAATTTGAAAAATTTTCACAGACAAAATACTTATATTTCCTAAATTTGAGAACATCTCCGCAAAAATTATTTTTGAACCAAGGCAGTGCGCTCGACAAAAAGAGTTGTTGACTTGCTATCAGATAAAAAATAATCCAATGTTTTTGTTAACCGAACACGAGAAGGACAAAAACATTTAACTTTATTGTATTTAACTTGCTCTTAACACTGTGGTTGACAAATTTATATACCTACTCGCTCTGAATGTAAATATGTGCGTTTAGATAATGTATTTTAGTTATACACGGTTACAGTGCATTACATTTAGTGGTGCTTTTTAAAAACATCGTGAAGTGTGTACTATTTTTGTATTTGAGAAGCATAATGGGTACGTTGTTAGGCATAAATTTGTTTAGTTTACATGTTTTAAATGATAAAGTATTGTACATATTTGATTTATACTACACATATTTATGGTAGTTAAAAAAAATATTCAAAGAATGTAACAGAAGGTCAATGATAAACTGGAACACGTAATTTTTAATGATTTCTGATAATATTTTTTATTACCTTAAAGTTTGTGGATAAATTTGTAATAAATAGCGGATTATAATGATAACGAATTTGTTAATCTTTTAGTAAAATAGGCAGGTATCTTGTTATAAAATTACTGTATCTTCCTCTTGTACTTAGCGAAGTTAGGAATTACAATCGTAAATTTCCAATAAAAAAGTCGAGGTGCGTTGTGTGTTAAAATCATGAAAACTGTTGGTCTCTGCTTTTCAGCGTTAATGTAGTAGTCCCTAGTACATTGCTCTTGCGTTTTAGTGACACATGCAAGTGCCAAACTTTGCGAGTGCTTTCTTTATAACGAGTCCGACAAACTTTTCCTCTTCGAAAATTTTCGGCGTCGCCGCGTTTTCGAACGAGCGATTCCGGGAATCTGTCTGCAAAATTGATTTTAGAGACACACACACACGTCAACAGGTACAATTTTTGTACAATTGTACAATTTACGGCATTTTCGTAACATTTATTCCTTTAAAATCGACTCTCGCACTATTGTGTATATATTTATATATTTTTTATTGCAGATGAATCCAGTTCTTTTGAACCCAGAACAGTCTCCATAGAACCAGGTCCAGAATTCAAGGACCGTTACGAGGTATTAGAAGAACTGGGAAAAGGACGCTTTGGCGTCGTTCACAAAGTAGTTGACAAAGTCTCAAACCAAAAACTGGCAGCAAAGTTCATTAAGTGCAGAACATCCAAAGATAGAGATAAGGTACAAGATGAAATCGACATCATGAACATTCTCAGACACCAAAAGCTCCTGCAGTTGGCAGCTGCTTTCGAAAATCCCAGAGATATGGTTATGATCTTGGAATAGTAAGTATTAAGTATTGTTATTATACAGGGCGGTCCACTGGGGGAAAGCATAAATATATTAAAGGATTATTCATTTGATAATAATAAGCAAAAAAGTTTATAGAAACCTTGGCGGATAATGCACCTTTTTAGAGACACACTTAGGCCTTCAATTTAAGAAAATTAAATTAAAAATTGTAAGAACGTATGATGAGAATTTTGAAAAATTTGATCTAAACTACCTACATTTGGTACCTAAGAAAACAGTGTTAATAATTCTGCATTTTAATTACCAATGAGTTAGATTGAGATCTCCTTTTTGTAAAGCATAAATTTCTATTTCTATGACTAGAGCTGGCACAACTTCACGAGCTGCCTAGCTGTCGGTTTAGTTGCCGAGTTGCTTGTAATCGAACGTTTATTCATTTCTTCCACGATTTTAGTTGTCTTTTGATGCATATTTTGATGAAGTAAACGTAGAGGTAAAAAAACAGCAAACAATTCATAAAATATTGAGACAAAAAGAAAACAAATTTAATGTTAAGTAGGTAACTATAAAATTATTAACAAATAAGAACTATTCAGGTAAAAAATTGAATATTTTTTTAATAGAAAATAATTTTATGAAACAAAAGGAAAATAATGAGAATGAGTTTTAAAAACAAAAATACCTATTTAAGCTATTCCCTTCTTTTAAAGTGTTATTTTTGTATTTTCTTTACAAAATGCACAAAAAAGCAAGTAGTAATAAATTATGTGCTCAAATCAGCTTTATCAGTAGCAAATTCGTCCAGCAAAGCGGCACTCGCACGTCTTATTTCAAGTGCAGTTGGTCATCCGGCGAGATAAATGAACTACAATATTTTATTTTACTAAAAAATATAACAATGATGTAGTTATATTCAGTTTATACAGGGTGATTCAGAACTTGCCAAAAAAAAAAGAATTTGAATGTACACTGTTACAAATACAATTTTGTAAAAAAAATCAAAAAACGGCAGTTGATTTAAAAATACTTCTGCACAGCACTGGAAACTGTTCCACCGTAAAACCTGACCTTGCGCAAGGCAAAGCATGCAGTCGGCGATCGATACGGCGACAAAGTATAATAAAAAGTGAACGAACAAAAAATTGAAAGAAGCAAATTCAACTGCTTTTGCCGCTATTGTAATTATTAATTAATAAAATTAATTTGTGGTTTTAATTAATACAATAATTTGACATACCTGATGTTACAACAACTGTTAAAAATTTGGACCACCGATGAGTGAACACATATGTGCCTGTCTTACCCAGTTTCTACGAACTAACGCAAATGTTGTCTTGCTTCACCATAACACAAATGCTTCACTATAACACAAATGCTTCACCATAACACAAATGCTTCACCATAACACAAATGTCTTGCTTCACTATAAATTAAAACCATATCCATCAACCCGCGTTGCTATACACGTAAGTCATTTTCGTCACTTGAAAAACTAATGTAAACACTATCGAAAAAACGTTAACAGAAAAATCGGATTTCAGTCTTCGGAATCGCCTGGAGCCACGTGGGGAGAGAGCGCATTGCGTGCAGCGTAAATGACGCTTGGGACTACAGTAACCCAGCGATGTAAGGGTTGTAAATACTACAACCTCAATAATTTTTTTCTTGGAAACTAAGGATTTTACAAACATTTTTTACGAATTGACTCCATTTTTGGATATCCATTTTGGATAAGTTGTGAATCACCTTGTATATACTCGTATATGCCCGAAAATCTTGTTTAAAATAAATGCACAACTGGCGGAAATCAGAAGACGCAACTTATGTTTGATCTAGTTCATGCAACATTGTCATAAAACAACTCCTGACAAATCCTTATAACCCAAAGATTTATTTGGCATTTATTTTTAATATACAGTGTGGTGAAAACGATTTAGTATTTCTTTGTGGTACCCTATTATTTATTTTTTTAAAATCTGCAGTTTCTGCTGTTAAAATAAAAAGAAAATTTAATACCATTCTGCAATTTATCCAAAATCTAGAAAAATAAGAAGAAAGGTTAACAAAATTATATTTTTTTGCAAATATGTACTATGAAGGGGCTGACGCCTCCCATATTCATAGCACAAGTTACTGAAGCACAGAGCAATTTTCTAAAGTAAATTTTGTTTGTAAATACAGATATGCAATATTTAAAAATATAATAATTTCAAAAAAGCAATTTCTTCGACATGGTGCATTTCCAAAACAAGATTATATCATTAAAAGTTTGTGTATTTCTTTGTAGGCCACTATGTATATTTATTATTCAATCTTATTTATTCAGTAACTAATTAGTTCAGTCACTGAAGGTAAAATACGGCGTTACTGTATAATTTTCCCAAACAGCACCGATTTGCACCAAAATTAGGATTTAGGTTCTACTTACCCTCTACTTCAAAGTTGACCCTGTGCCGGGAGTTGATTTTTATTTTTTAGGGGTGAATACTACCCCTATTCGAAAATAATTATAAAATTGTAAGCACGTAATAGGTTGAAATCATCTTTAAATAAGTAATTATGATGAATTGAAAATTGTCAATCCCTAAAAACCAGTCAGTAATCATTAAAAAATAATGTTGAAAAATATTATTCTGCAACTTGGAATAATTTAATCATATAGTGATATAAATTAAGAATTCTTTACTGTTTTAATTTTTTATTATTTATTTATACGTTTCAATCCTTATAAAAACCACCTCTTGCAAAAAAAATCGAACAATTATAGTTAATTTTTTTTTTCGTTCAAAATATAATACAATCATTTTATTATTTAAAATGTAATGTATTTATTTTATCAAACTTTAAAACAAACCCTACTGATTAAAAGCAATAAAAAATAGGGAAAATAAGAATTTTATTTTTATATGGATTTTAATTTTTTTATTTTTATAACAAAATTTTTTTTTATTG